TGCTTCTGAAAAAATATTTCTTTCTTTCCTGGCAACTTGCTGCAGACCGGCAAATATATTTCTTTCTTTCCTGGCAATTCGCTGCGGACCAGTGACCGGTGCACCAGTCCACGGACTACCGCTTTGAGAAGCACTGACTTAGAGCATGCTCCTGTGAAGTAATGAGCATCTTTTGTTATGGACCTTTCTCCAGTCCCTTGAGTACACGCCTTTGAAATGACATGCTGCCACTTCCCTTTGGGATGAGATACTGATCTAGTTAGTATCTGTGAGTACTTCCCAATTATACATTTCTGTTTGCCAACCATTTTACCTAGGAGATCCAATGAGCTTGGCTGCAAGCATTTCCTTTCAGAAATCTGGAGACAGTAGGCAGAGATACAGAAGCAGCCTCTTATAAACAAACATGAATTATTTGCCAAAAGGTTTATAATGCTGTGAGAAAGGGATTTAAAAATCAGAGACCTTTATCAACCTCTGGCATTCTTCTCAATCTGGTGTTCCCAGTTCTCTTGGGGACCAATCCTTCTTATGCCATGGCTCTCAATCAATCTATAACAACTTCCCCATCCATTTCTGCCAGGTGGATCTTTAACTAATCATCACTTTTTGATCTCTAGGTATTCAGCCTTGAATATCCCTATTTCCAATGCTTCTTGGCTTTGCTGGTTGCCACATGAGGCCAGAAAGGAGTTTTTCCTCTCCTCCTGCTGCTAGATGGATCAGTGGGGTTTTTTTCTTGTCTTCCCTAGAAGCACTGCGTGTTGGTTGTGGCCAAGGTCAGGGATTTTGACTGGGGTGTCCCAATACGCGTGCTGGGACTTAAACCTGGAGCTTCCTGGCTAGAGGGTCTTTCCCTTCTGCTCAGTGTCAGACCAATTGCAATACTTGGGGTCAGGAAAAAATTTTACCCTATGGTCAGACTGGTATGGACTGTGGGGGTTTCTGTCTTCCTCTGCAGCAGGAGAAATGGCCCTCTGCCTGGGATCTTGAGTGCATTTTAATGACCCTGGCAGCAAAAGGATATTAGTTGCCATGGTCCCCCTGCTTTACCTGTGGCAGGTGTTTCCTAGTGGTTGTATTAGGGTTGACTTTAATTTTACTAATAGATTAGACAATGGATTTGTATAGAATGATTTAGATAGGGATGATCCTACCTCTGGCAGGACACTGGACTAGATGACTTCTGAAGGTCCCTTCCAGCCCTACTTTTCTATAAAAGAACAGTCACCAAGGTTGGGACTACACCTCTCCAGGCCTATTCACCTGGCTGTTATACTAGAACCTTTTGGGGTGTTCTTATCTGGACCACTGAGTTGCCTTTCTATTGTTTTTTTTCTAACAGCTCCACTTTGATCTGGCTTCATAGCAAGTAATTAATCTAAAGAGGCCCACACAGACATGTATTAGATTCAGAAAAAATACTACAGATAGGAGTTGAATATGTGGAGAACTGAAAGTTATCAACTTACTGGGCCAATCCTTTAGTTAGTAAGTTTAATAGGATCAAGAACCATGAATGAAGGATAGGTGTCTCATAACATGTCATTATTCAATGATGCAGTAACCAAAGACTAATAACTTGGCCATTCAACTATAGGAGAACTCTTCTCCCACAGAGTAACAAAAAGCCAACACACAAATACTTCTATTATATTCCTTTTAAAACTGAGTGTGAGTGCGTGTAAGTCCGTATGTGCATGAAAGTGTGTGGGAGGGGAGGGCGCACCACAGCTAGGAACACAAAGAAAGAGAAATTAGCCACTAGTATCGTTAAGGATTCAGAGGCTAAAAAGGACCAAATGGTGAAATGCAACTGGAATGGCTTTTGAGTAAGTAAACTGAATTCTCTTGCCATTAATAAATGTTTCTTCACTAGAATGTAGAACCTGTTTAGTGTACTTCTGGAAATATCCTAGATCTGCTATGCGAAAGAATGTGCTATCCACTGTAGCATGCAAGAGCTATTGTTCCTTACCCTCCTATTAGTCACAGTAGTCCTTTAACCTACTTGTTATCAATGTTACCATAAAAAACAGGAGGGAAAGTGTTTAATCAATTCTGATGTTTGAATCAAGGCTGCTTTTCATAACTAGCCCGATTAAATTAACGTTGAAAAATCCAGCCATAATCTCCAAGCATCTCACTCCCTCCTCCAGCTCCTTCACACTCGTCCTGAAAGAATTATGTTCCTAAATCCCTTAAGGTGTTTTACAGAACACCTGACGGGTTCATAGCATAAATTATACTAATGTGTGGAGCAGACATAGGACCAATCTCTCTGGATAGTTGCTGCAGGAGTGCTGTTAGAAAAGCTTGCCACTAGGTGGCATAAAAGCCAGTAATAGCCTGCTTATATTGACCAAATGGCTACCCCATGATAGACACAGACACGCAATAGCTACATTGATGTCACTTAAACAATGTTTTTTCTCTGAATAATGGTACACCGGATTCTAGTAAGTTACATCAATGTAGAGGTTCCTTGTGTCCAGAACTTCAGCCCAAACCCTAATGTAGACTAAAGACATAACACATAATTAATTACAGGGCTAGAGGGCATTTCCCTCTCTTGCATCTTAATGGAAGCTTTTCCCAGAAGATTCCCAAGTGAAAAACCTATGGCTGTAGCCAATCCTGGAACTGGTTCAAGTCAGGTCAAACCTGCTCTTGAACCAAATGAGCTGTTAGTTCTCTATTCCCAACTGCAGTTGAGCGACTAACTCATTCTGCCTGAAAATGCTTTAGAGTGATGGAGGAAGAGTTGATGAGTTCAGATATATAAAGCTGATGAGAAGTTTATGCCACAAAGACTGAAAAGGAAAATGAGAAACAACATGACAGGGTTGAAAACTGCCTGAGAGCTTTGGGTTTGTCTTGAAAACATTCAGCCTTCCACCTAACCTGCAACAGAAGAACTGCCAGAGAATTGGGCTATACCAATAACCATATTTGGTGTTGACAGAATTATAAATGAAATAGTATGCCTGAAACTGAGGTGCATATTCAGTAGAACTCAAAAACTGAGCACGATTCACGGTTGCTGAGTGACAGAGAGAGCACGAAGATTTGTAGCACTGCTGCTGAGTTTCCCCAAGACCCAGCCGGGAACACGTGCTTAATTTTATACCACAGTCCTGTAAGATTGTTCAACTAGAACTACAAATTAATATCCAATTTAACAGATCAGATTCAAGAAATGTAACCTTGTGCACAAGTGAAAGGATGCTGTGGATAGGTGAGAGTACAGATGAAGGAAAACAGAGAATTGCTAAGCAACATTAACATACCGTTGTTGTAGTTTCTTCATGCAGCTGACATGTACCATCTTTCACGAAAAGGGCAACGAATTTGAAAAACTATGCTGTGGGAACTGCTATGGAAAATTAATAAATGCTAATGACAATTAGCAAGGAAAATGTCTAGGATCTCATGCAAAATCACCTCTACCTTTGTGTCAGCAAACTCTTGTGGAACAATTTAGCATTTCAGGAGGACTTTAAAAACAGAACAATTTTTTTTCCTTCTTTCCTCAAAGATAGTCTGCATGGGTAAAATGATTTTTTTCTGCTTTAGTGATGCTATAAAATATTTGGGCCTAAAACCAACACATTCAGAGCTAGCACTATGTACTGCTACACTGGCCTTTCCTTTCAAACTAAAAAAAAAAGGCAAACATCCCTGTAAATCATTTATTCATCACAAGAATATTTGTCAGCTCCCATTTTGCTTCTCTCTCTTGTTCACTGCTCTACCAAACCACCATTTCAGCTCTCTAAGAATACCGGCTTGTGGGCACACAGAGCTACTACAGCTAGAGCATTCTGATTCCCTTAGCTTGGAAAAAAAAAGTTAACTATCTACAAAACAAAAAGGGGTGGGGGGAGGAGGGGCAGGAAAGTCTAGGACACTGTATCCTGCATTTGTAGTATTCATAACAAAGTAGGTGACTCAGCTATCTTAAAGACTGAACACACACTCCACAATGAACAGGTAGGCTTTTGTCAGATAACAGTGATCTTTTATTTGTCAAACTTTATTTGTTAAAATAATATTTTAAAGGATTTTTTTTGTTTTTTGTTACTGGAAGCTATACAAGGCCAACATCATGTGCACTGAGCATTGTAAGTGTCAGATGATTTATGTAGAAGTAATTGGGGTTAAACTATCTGCCACATCAACCTCCTTACATTTGGCCCCATCTCTGGAACCTTGAAACATCTGAAATAAATAAACCCATGTGTTACTTAACAGAGCCTGGGCCTAATTAGGACAGTCTCTAAATTTCACCTTGCATCGCTTGGTCCATATCTAGCATGTCTGGTTTTCTGCTACCTAAATGAGAAAAAAAAAATCCCCTTCCTAGCAAGGGTTTTAACCCTCTAACCAACAAGCAACAGTTACCTCCTTATCTCTGGCTGTCTTCCATGCTAAAAATAAGAATGCTGCTGATATTCCATGACAGCCTCTACTTCCCTTTTCTGTTTGCTTGCATCGCGGACTACATGAGAGACCAAGAAGTCCCATTTGCTGACCGCCTCTTTTTTACATTATCAGTGATGGTGTGCAATAGTTATGCTTATGATTGTGCTAAAACATTTTGCAAACCCAAAGTGGGAGACAGTCCCTGCCCTAAAAGGCTTAAATCTAAGGTCTTTCCTTGCAAGAGTTACTACACTCAAAATAGTCTAGCTCTAGCAAAAGCAGTGACACTATGAAAAAACTTTTGAGCTATACTGGGCCACTTGATTTGCAGCACAGGCTATAGACAAATGGATGTTTTGCAGCACAGGCCCACACAATACCCTGGGAAAAGCCAGCATACCCTGCAAAATAATATTTCTCGGCAACAAAATGCACCCCTTGAAATGCACCCCTTGAATGGGAATAACACTCTTCCCTGGAAATATTGCAGAGGTATGAGACACATGTAGAAAAATAAGTATCCTTTGCGTTTAGCTTTTCAATGACCCACACAAACAGACACACCTAAAACTCACCGAATGTAATGGGTAATTTCCAGATCAAGAAAGTTTCTTCTCAGGATGGCTGTTTGCCGCAAGATATTTATATCCAGGCTTTTGCTTCAAGGCTCTGCATCTTGAGCAAGCTTGTGTAGATGTGGCCACAGGGGAAGCAGACTAGCAGAGACATTGGACTAGTGGTGGATAAACTATAGTAGTTCAAGTTGCTGTGTACCCATGACGTTAGCCAGCTTGACCGTCCGCTGCGTTGGAATTTCAAACCATATCCCCACAACAGACCAGCTGGCTCCAGTTTAAAGTACCAGATAACTTGAGCTAGATACTTCTGCATGTAGAATAGAGCTGGATGAAGGTATGGGGGAAAAAACAACCAAACAAACTCCCCCCCCACTCCAAAAACCTTGCATTACAGTTTGCAAGAACAATGCAGCAAATGGAAGCCTTTAATTGATAAGAATGGGAGAACTGAGGCCCAGAAAAGGGAAATGGAAGTTACCTGATGCCAAATGAGATTGACAGATATAGAAACTGAACTTGCATCTCCTGAATCCCAGACTAATACACCTCAACCATCAGACCTACTTTCTTCACTTTCTATGAATGTACCTTTCCCCCTCCCCATGTCACATTACTGGGGGTCCTAATCAAGTGTGGGTTTCAAATGATCTCTTCATGGCAGATGCCAGCATCTTGAAGCTGTATCACGTTCAGTTGGTCACAGACCCCATGTATCTTTTTAGCCATGCTGATTGGCTCTATCCTAGTGGCTATTCTTTTAATGCAATTTGAATATTTTAAAAGTGTCTATCACTAGCATTCTAGACCCCCCCCCCCCCAAAAAAAAAAAAAAAAAAGAGACTTAAAAACTCTTGCTAGTAGGTCTTGATGTACTAAAACCCAGAGAGCTCTTCTGGAACTCTTCCAGAATTTGACATACACATGGAAACAAAATGTCATTCAACATTAATTTTAGCATTTAACTCATCTTCAAATTCTGCTTCCTTCATACTACATGGTGAAACGGATTTAGCTGTCTAAGCGTCACAGAGATGGTTGAGCTTTGTCCTTCCTGTTACAGTGACACACTATTGATCAGAGACATCAAAGAAAAAATATTGAGAGTGCAGGGGATAACAAATGAGCTGCATTGGTAAAGATATATAGGCAAATTTGCACATTACTTGTATCTTGTTGGAACAGATCCTCCTGTACATCTGGCCCATTGTATCTGTAGCCTTTTAGTGGTACCATTAATGGACAGAAAGGGAGGAAACAATTTCCCACATTTACATAGAGAGAGAAAAATATGGAATCACATTGATTTTATTCCCTCTATTTATTCTGGAAATGCTCCCTTCAGTGATACTGAAACAGACTCATCAACTGCCAATGGAAAATATATGTTGTTACTTTCAAGTTTATTGTAGCAAAATTATTTTACTAGAGGGTTTAATGCACTAGAGGTGGCTTGCAGAAAAAATAAATAAAAGTGTTAAATGTTGAGGACTAAAAAATATTCTTGGAGAAGCAAACCAACTTCAGTTCTATTCATAATATATTTTCTTAAAAGGATAAATTACAATTTTACCTCATTGTGCGTTTCTGGATCTTGTGTTCTAAATATGCTTGTATTTAGAAAAATGTTTCCTACTGAGAACAATATCCAATCAAACCACAAGGTAAACACCAGCAAAAAAACAAATGAAAAATGAAATGAGAAAACAATTTCTTAAGAAAAAGATACCATCAAAAACATGGTGACCTGTATCAATTTATTTCTTTGTGCCTACATGCCACTATCACTGAAGAATGTCATTTGGTTGGTATACAACTTCTTGAGTAAAATATTTACATACACTTAAATATCCAAGATGATGTACATCCAAAACACACACCACTGACACGAACGGCATATAACCTATAATTACCTAGTCCAGAAGAAACAATTAACTCCAACCAGTGTAGGTGCAAAGAGCACAGGTGACAATTTATCTTCCTGGCAACCTTCATTATGACTGAACAACAAACCCAGGAATCACTTCAACTTTGGGAGCATAATTCTTCCCTATACTGCGCTACCAACTATGAAAAATAACTGCATTACTGCCAACCTTTACATGCATCATACATTTTTAATTTTCTGCTTCCAAGTTCTTCCTTTAGTTCACTGTTCCAAGTGCTTAAACCTCTGTAAACCAGAAAAGGTTCATTTAGTGGAAAAGCTGGACTACCTCATCTGAACAGCACCTCACTGCAGACACACAACCCCTCTCCCCCACAAGTATTATTTTAAAAAGTTTTTCTAAGGGAAGTGCTTTGTAGGTATTTACATGCTCTCTTCACCCTTGTCAGCTTCTTCTTTCATTGTTTCTACACCATCTCTCCCTACCCATGTCCAAAACCCACTCCCGGGACATCTACAATTGAAACACAAAGCAGCAGCTGTTTGGCAACAATTGCTCGCCCTAAACAGGAACTGTGATGGGATTTCATTTCACCAAATGGGCAAGACCTCATTCAGTGCTATGCAAAATAACACACACACACACACATACATACACACAGTTATATATGATATATACTGATTTTATATATATATATATATATATATATAATAAATAACAGTATACACAGATATATATATATGTATATGCATGTGTGAATATACTAATTGTATATATATGCATTTGTAATCAGTAAACACACATATATATGTATATATAAAATATATACACGCGTGTGTATACTGTTATACACACATATACATATAGAATGCATATACATACACACATATACACAGTGTTATACAGGGGCATGCATGTATACATACACGTGTACCCAAGTGTACGCACACACCTGTATGCCCGCGTATCATTGCATGCACATCATTGCAGGCACACATGCGTGCATGCCCATCACTGCAGATGCGTGTGGTGTGTGTGTATGTATATACATGTATGCAGTGATGCCCGGTGGGTGTGCACATACACACGCACACATCACTGCATACGTGTACATACACACACACACGTCTCCACACACACACACACACACACACACACACACACACACGATCTGACAGAGAGGCACGCACAGCCACACGTCCGTCCCCACCCCGCACCTACCCCCGGGCGAGGCGAGGCGAGGCGAG